TCTCTCCTCCTTTTCCTTGAACAAGTCGGCTAGTACTCGTGGAATGATGCCACGATGTTCATAGCTGCTCGTGCTCCCTACCATCGTGTATGTTTTACCAGCCCCCTAAGTAAACAGTATTGCCGATTCAAGCCATACACCTTCACATACAGTATGGCCATAGGCGATCACAGCACCATTGATTCCCTCAAAAGCTGAGCGGACAAGATATCTAGCAGCATGCTTGTAGACCTCTTGCTGACTGAGTAACACTCCATGAGGCAATGAACGACTCACTCCGTATACCTGCAGTTGACCAACAACCTGTCGACCTGAAAATGCCACTGCTCGGTTTGATTATCAGCCACGCTGAGACTTCCGCCTTTTTTCTTCTCTACCACCTCGGGTGCTATGAGATCGATACTCTACAGTACGATATAAGTGTTATTCATGAGGAGGTGGTTATGTTAATACGTCAGCTCCAGCATCGAATATGTAATGGTCCTTCGAAAAGTTACATGTAGGTCGAGTACGCACGATAACCTTCACGTTGTTGTTTCGAGACGATACCATACAGAAGGAGCAATGTCTACTCAGTGGGAATCTTGATGCCGATAACACACGCGATGGGATAATGATCACCCATTGGACTTTTAGTTACCATCGATCGCGTTAACATTGACGTATAACACTAGCCAGATCGTTACTATTCGGATAGATAGGCTGAATACCACAGGAGAAGAGCTTCCTACTAGCCATAGCTAGTGGGAGGAACAGATTGGGCCAGACAGATTCCACAGCACATGACTACTGGACGATAGAATGATCAATGAGGTAACGCCCAATACAATGGATACAATACCCATCCTAGTTAAATTTCGTCGATCACTGAGATTGACCATATCTCCATGAGCGCTTGCATATAGTCATTCTAGTGTTTCCTATTGACGCATGATGAACACAAGGCAAAGGAGGGTACACTAGACTTCAGAAGAAGTCACGGTCTAGTTGGAATGAATATGCAATATGCAACTATCCCTAGAGACAGAACGGTCGGCTCCCTGCAGCAACACGTAGCAGCGATATAAGCCACTACTGGGTCCAGCTCGTCATCATCAACAGCACCAACAACATCAGATAATCTAACGGAGGCCGTTACATAAGAGGAGGCCTCGCTAGGCCCCACCAACCGTGGTGGTGATGATGAAGGCGGAGCAGAAGCCATTAATAATGAGCGGTTGAGACGCTAGTTAAGGCAGCAGAGGGATAACGACGAGGAGCACAAAACAACCAGGGAGAAGTAGCAAGGTGTTGCAACGGTTTCGGCCGCTGCGAATGCCAAGTGCAACACTGATAATGGCGTTCCGTAGATACGCCATAGAGTGGACAATCTCGACAGAGAAAAAGTAATATATGAATGTTTGAAGAATCTATCAGAAATGTGTGACACGTCTTCATCGAGGTGATCGTGTTGGCCTTGTATAAGCCCTGTTGAGCTCATAGTTCGCCTGATACTCAATGACGGTCGACCCTATGGTGATGGTGATAGCAAACGTGGTTATGCGCAAACTATACATAAGAAGTGCGCTACTTCCGAATCACGATCGTCGTCGTTTTTGATAACATAATCACAAAAGATTACTAAGCAATGGTATCACATAAAAAGAGACGGTGTTGTACATAAGAAAAAGCATCGCAAAAACCAACAACACCAATACGTGCGTGTTGATGACAGCAATAGAAAGAGATCAGCGGGTTACATATGGTACTCGTGGCATGATTCTGGTAAGGCTATTGCTACCACCTAGAATGATACTTAACAGTGGCAGCAACAGTATAAGACGCCCCTTATTGGACGCAGCGGCATGATGATCATCATGACCATAGTGGCATCAACCGAGGATAAAAACACTTATCGTGATCGAGACCAGAAGCAGGGCAGTCGTGTGACACTGCTGGGGATGTGACTTCATCGTTTTCGAAGGCTCCACGTTGAGCACATATCGGCACTTCTTCACAATAGAGTGATTCGGAAGGCGGTTCTTCATAATAGCGAATGTGGGGCGACGTGAAGCTGTTGCCTCGCGATAAGCCAGAGTCTTCATCGCCAGCTGTATTAGAATGATCGCAGCCGTCAGTAATACTATGGCACGAGATTGGGTCCGGACTATGCTCAGTCACCTCCCTGGAAGGAGACTGCAAGTAACTGATTAATAGCATATCGTCAATCACCACACACACCATCAGCGTTGTTGAGCTCGCAAGTTTCCTCATCAGCTCAAGGAGTTTATATACGAACTCACTCAGGAATTTTCAGAAACCAACAAGAACTTCCGAAAAAAAATAACATTTCCCAATTTTCCCATCATCAGAAACACCATAGACTCACCTTTTCGGAACCCATCCCTGTTCACCCGTACTAGGGCGTATCACTAACGACCACTGACCATCATCGGTTACGCAGCTGCATCTGAGGTGTGGAGGCCCACTTGGAGAAAAACAGGCCTAAGTGTGGTACTGGAAAACCTCTCCAGCCGATATTTCCAGCATCTTGTCAGCAAAAGCCCCGTATGGGACGAAATCGCATATCGCTTTGCAATTAGCTGATGCCAGTCTGAAGATATCAACGACTGATTTGATCCAAGATGAGAACAGCGTACTCTTCAACGTGTATATGCTCTAGGGAACTGTCAGCAGGGACAGAGACCTTATCGGGAGTGATAGAAGTCATCATATCCGAGCGATTGGAATAATTGTCGAGTTGCTGTCGAGCCCATATGTCTCTATGATCCCCTGTAACCTGCAGGCAACCAGATATGTACCTTGTGAACTACAACCTAGTATCACCGTCGATGTCGTAGAGGAACTAGCGACTGCCGAACGGTCTCCGTGGGCATCCACAACCCTAGCCGGCGAAAACATGAGCAACTCTTCCTCTAAGCCTGGACCAACACGTGACGTCTGAATAGAGTGGATGAGATAAGGGACAGAGGACCAGATGTGAGTACCTCAGAAGCCTTAAGAAGAGCACTAGGTTCAGCTGCAGGAGAGATGTCGTCCCACACTGACGTCGTCCCAACCGTTGGTGGAACTGATGGCTACAGCATATAGAAAAACAAGAGGAGTTCACAGATGTATCGCTCACCCGTCCCGGGTTGCCGATCCAGTATACTATGTGGAGTACGGCTATCACCAGCATCGCCTTTGGCAGTGCAGCTTGGTAGGGTCTCAAGAACACACTCCCAATGGTGACACACCACCATATGCTCAGGGAAGTCTCGAACGCTGCCGATCCACTTGCATGGAATGTTGAGCACTTCATCCACTCTGAGGAGGATTACTCCCGAAACGGTCCACCTCCGTATTTTACTTATTGCAGCTTATTCGTATCTTACGATAGACTCTTAGCAACACTGCTATGGGACCTCCAACAGACTCATTAAAGGGGAAAACCTGACCGTAAGTTCACCAATGCCTGTAATGCAGTCCCCCCTCTTTCCTAGACCCTCGATATGAGAATCCGGTTGGCCTACATCGATCCCTTTCCTAAGGGGACAGCCACAAGATGGACAAGGTAGAGTCTTGAGCTTAGGCTCCTGCTCCACATTGGCACGTCGCCATCCCTCGAAGCATCTGCCCGTCAAGCGAATACCACACCATCACCAACTTCATCATACCCCTACCTTGCACACGTTACGTGCGTACACGCTGAAGCTATCGTAGGATCAGGTGTAGGCGAAGCCAGGGCGCCACAAATGGAACATAAGTATCTTTGCGCACAGCGAAGATTCCAACACCATGCATCATCATCGTCGTCGAAGCGTAGTCCTACTGTGCAATGCAAGGATGATCAACTTCATCTACGAGTTGGTCTCGAGTTATTGCCAGATGCTTTCCCGTACTCGCTGGGAGCTCCTGTGCGATCTAAAACATATAGCCCCGATGAGTAGCATTATTATGATCATCGTCAGCACCTCCAGCGCTCTCATCCGGAGACCAGGCAAGTCTATTGGCTTGGGTGAAGTTGATATCGGTGTGGTATTGATACCAGAAACTACACTCTCCTTACTGCATCTACGTCCGTTTCCTCTACCGTTGATGCATGGTTCCTAAATACTATTTCCAACCCCAACCAAGCACATATTTTCTCACTTCGCAGGTCTGCGAACTCTTCCTCTTAGACCCAGAAACAGAACCGCCACTACTGTGCCTGCCAAGGAACGTGATGGGAGTCTAATACCTTGGGTGAGCGGATGACCTGTTGTTATTATATTGTCGTCCATGAGGAGCACCAAGCGGTACGTAATTCCTGAGTTCTTCTTCGCTGTGCGCATACCTAAAGATACTCTCCATATCTCTTCCACTCACTCTAGAGAAACACTCACTTGCAAAGAGCACCGTTTTTGCAGCCGCATTTACCATATACCTGCTCGTAGCAAATAGCAGTCTTTGTAAGATTCGGGAGTAATCTCAACTCTGACTCGGAATGGGCGAAACTGACACGATGCATCAGCCGCCAACGAGCATCCCTATGAAGCCGCATGTGCATGCACTGTCACCACGTGTCACCCAACACTTTGAATCCTCATTATTCGAGCGCACACGTTGGTGACGCCACCCCAGCAGTACTACTACCTGCAGCGATCCCCTTGGGGACAGCTCCACAGGCCATCAGCATTCATCCTGAGCTTAGGGCACATCTTGGTTTTCAAGAAGGCATTGGCCTGATCAGAGATAAACGCATCATTAAGAGAACGGCAGGTGCCTAGAATTGAACCCGGGACCCACTACTACCTTCACAGCGGTAGCCATACTCTCCGTACGGTAGACTAGTAGCGTACCGTCAGGAGCCGACTTCGTACCCGTATTCGTAAGGGGCGAGCAGGAGGTCTATAGAGAGCACTCAAGCGACTGATAACATGGCGAGGACTCACCCTTCTTATCGCGAGTTCCAGCTTGGACTTCACCGAGTCCTCGGAGTCGCGACGAGGTCGTCTAGTCTGAGCCCATCTCACTATTGCTGAGGGACTCTCTGCATCAGTTGTGGTAGAAGCAGACATGGCCCGCTCCGACTTAACCACCGACCGGCGGCGCTGTTGAGTCAACGTTTTTGAATTGTCCATTTCGTGTTCAGAGTGGTTGGTCACTGTAGGAGAAATACCAGTAAGCCAAACAGATGCCGACAGTACACACCCTCGTTTGAAGACTCTAACTCAAAGCCACCGTAACATCAGATTCAACATGTTATTCCTACTCCAACCCGCGACGCCGAGATTCGTCTTTGGAAGAATGCACCATCGGCATTTAGCAGTCACTACACTAGCATCGTCGATCAATGACCTCCAGCCTGCTGTTAGCTACCACCCACATGCCGTTTACTACTCCGTATCACTACTACATCTCTGTCCGAAGGCACTCGTCTGGTCGCTCCAGTGATCCCAAGGAGCACCGAGTGTGAGGTCCTAAGGACGATTTCTATTTCAAACCGAGCCAAGATAGATTTATCGTCAGTCTAATGCTTCTGAGAAGAGCTGAATGATAACCTCCACCGACCCCTCGAGACCAACATGCATAAAAACTACCGACCGCGCCCCTATCCAGTTTGTGAGGGAGAGAGTTCCTTGTTAGTGACTGGATAAAGATAAGGGAACGCAGGCCTGCATCAACAAGCCTTGAGAACAACTCTATTGAGCTCGAGCTGAGGTAGTGGAACAGTAACTCTGCCCAGATGACGTGGGATAACTCAAGTATAGACGTGAATTAATCCTGGGTAAAAATACAAGAGAGGTTTTCTCTTCCAGCTTTTGAAGGGGAGCCAGAATAGGTCCAGACACCAGTCGCAGCTACGGCACAAAGAACGAGAGTAGGACAATCATAAAACAATTCAATTCCTACGAGCTGAATAGAAAAAACGCTCACAATCTTGCTCTCTCACATTTCCTCAACGTGTGAAACGGTTAGCTCGGTTGTGGTAAGAGAATTATTCACATCCAACATCGAAGACAACACGAGTCACAAGTACACGGACCTTCATCAACCGTAAACCGCTCCAAAAAATAAATCGAACCCACAGAGGAACGGGCGGAACAATGGTTTGCAATAATCACTTGGAGCTTGGTATGCGAGCATGTATAGAAGTTCCATGTTGTATCACCAGGGTTGAAATATATGTTTGCTTTCCTCAGCTGATCTCAGGAATTTCCTCACTAATCACTAGAGTTTTCATAAGAACTAGTGTAGAGGTGTCAATAAACCGGCGATAATTTCTCTTAATTTCCTCACAATCCTTTTATTATCACCAACACATGTAGTTGACCGTGTGCATATTTTCCGCTGGCATTGTTCACTATCACCCGAATACATTCAACTCGGATGATCTGAGCGACTTCCGATTAGCAGAACACAACTTTGGAAAAAGTACAGTAGAAACAACGTTGGTGAAATGGGCTATAATGGTAGTCGTTGTCATCTAGATTCGACCTTTAATCGAGGACAGACATTCATAGCTTGCAGTTCTTGGAATAGCAGCTTGCAAGCGTACGGCATACGTATATCAACGATGTTCTCACTCGTACCACACAACCTATGCAACAACAACACCACATAACCAAACGTATCACCACAATTCAGCTTACTTGCACGTTCCGTTTTGGTACGATAAAAGGCCGCAGCGTCGACACACGGAAGCTGTGAAGACATCACTGGAGAGCATAAGACGCTCCAGCAACAGATTGGAGGCGCCATATGCCACCTATAGGAAACCATGACTGGACATCTCAAGTAGGGATCTTACTAAGCAATCCCTTTCCATCTCTCCCAGACGAAGGCCACCATCCTTCGCCCTTCCTTCAGTAGGCTGTCGAGTGAGCTGATTCACGGGGCCGGTGGAACGAGCATGGATCTTGTCCATAACCTGCAAATAGCCAGTACGGAATCCAGCACAGAGCTGCATGGAAAACTGACCATATGCTTCAGTTTTTGATAGTAAATCGGACCCACGAAAATGTAGCACTCCAGAGCCTCCCCTGTGACGCCAGATGTGATATACTCCTTAGCGCTAGGATGGAAGCCATGCCGGATCAAGGATTGTGTCATGTGCTCCTTAGTTGTCCCGCCAAAGGCCGTACCATACGAACGTTCACCATCGAGAACGCCAGCTTTGCCAGACACACACTCCTGAGAAATGCCGTGACTGGTGAAAAACTGCTGAATATAATTACCAATAGTTTTCCCACAGTCATTCGACTGGGGAAACCATGAGGGTTCATGATCAGATCTGGACACCATCCCTTCTCGCCGAAAGGCATGTCCTCCTGGTTCACAATGAGACCAACCACACCCTTCTGGCCGTGTCGACTGATAAAATAGGCGTTGAAAAGCTTTCATCAGCTTCGCTCCGCCTACCTTGAGAACTTATCACCCAGCTCGGGTCGTCGGGTCTGTCTGGTGATGCACTTGAATATTTTAGCTTGATCTTCGTTCTCCGTAGCAATGACTCTATCCACATATGAAGGCACAGGATTCTTGTATCTATGTAGACAGAGTTATAATGCCCCAGGGGTGATTTGAACCCACGATATCGGAGTGTCCCTCCAGTGAGAGACCTGCCCTGTAGCAGCATCGCTCATAGGCGACACCTTGTTGATGAGAATACCACCATCAACGACTTGCTCTCCAGAGAAAGGCAGACCGTCCTCATCAATGATAGCATACCTACAGGAACAATGTTTGTCCTCAACAGGCCTGTAACCTACTTCTTCGCCCGTCCCACGAAACCTCCTTGCCGCTGATGACGACCTCCTCCCTTACCCCCACCCCCGACCACCGGTGGTGCTCGCAGCTCTTCACTGGATCCAATGGCCGACCGAGCCAGTGGTGTTGCCTGCAATGGTGTCATAACTTGACAGATCGCTGCCTCTCCAACTCACATATTTCCGGGTTACACAGCACCGTCCGAAACCTCTATCGATCGACGCCTTGTTCATGATAAGCGCATCTTCAATATCATATCTGAATGAACCTCTATGGTAGACCTCACGATTCGCCCTCAACTCACCCCGAATAGCTCATAACCGCCACACTAGCGTTGTGGCCAGCTGGGAGGTTATCATACCCAATAAGGTCAATGGTTCGGCTCTTGCACATCGGCTGTTGGGGATACGTCAACAGCAGCAGCTGAGTATCCGTTCGAAGGTGCTGAGAGAGAGCTTCACGACAAAAGGGCCCAACCAGGAGGTCCCTACCTGGTTACACGCGATGTTACCCATAGCTTGTTTACCCATCGCGCATTGGTATGTGTTACGAGGGGACTGGTTATGGTGGGGGTAGGGGACCAAGCCGGCCACAGCTCCCAGCAGAGTAAGGGGCTCGATCTGGCGACAGTGGTCATGATGATGAGTGAATAGGTACGCGGACGAGGCATACCTCTAGATGTGTAGACTCCATCGTGACGTCCTCAGGGTTGATAGCGATATATGAATTGTTCTCCTCATTCACGTCGACCCACTCTATTATACCCAATCTCAGGAAGTCAGTAAACCTGATATAAGATGCTATGATAGATTATACACACGTCCAGCAACCTCACCTGAGCTCCCCTGACCTGAGCTTCCGTAGATGCACCTCCGGCTTCAGCATAGGCTTGCCCTTCTTCACCACAATAAGGGGTCGACAGAGGCGACCACCGTCTGTCGCGATAATGATAGCTCTCTGTGCTTCATGCTCGTAGATCGACACGAACTCCCCGATTTTGCCCCGCCGACGCAGCGTTCTCATATCACTCATGAAAGTCTGGGGCCTTCTATGGACGCCCAGCAGGGCACCATTGAGGAACACAGTAATGGTGCCAGCTGAATGAAGTTCCTCACCAGTGAGCCCTGCTGCATCCTCAACACCTACCAACAACGATAAGGACTAATGAGTACCACCATAAGAGCTCACCAAGGGAATAGCAAAGACGTCGTATCGGTCCTTCCTCGTCGGGTGTAGTGACGTGGGCCAACAGTGACAAGGCCTTGATAAGCCCGCACTGTTCACCTTCAGGAGTGTCGGAAGGGCACAGCATACCCCACTGGGAGGGCTGCAGGGCTCGAGGCCCCGCCAGCTTACGGGACTTCTCGAACTGGGACCTGATGTGACCGTCACATCTACTGTGGGCTACCATAACAGACTCTCACTTAACGCGAGTCATGGCCCCCAATGCAGCGATGAAGGAGAACCGCGAGAGAACCTAAGACAATGTGATAGTAGCATAAACCACTGTACAGATGAGACAAGAACCCACCTGGCTAACGCCCGAGCGATCGATTCGGAAACGTTTGATGTTTCCAGTTGCCCGAACTGATAGCCCTGTTCATGCCTCTTGTGATCCTCTCAGAGTCTATATCACGTAGCACGTCGGGATAGCCGCTGTCAAGCCCAACCGTGGACCGACCCGCTCGTGCAGAAGACGTCTACCACACAAACAGGTGCAAGCCCTCCCTCCAGAAAGGTTACCTGCTGGAAGAACTTGGTAAGGCGCATGTCAACAGACTTCTTGATCTCAGTGTTCATGCTCTTGAAAAGATCCTCGAACAGAAGGGCGATCAGCTGCCCGGCCAACTCGAGACGTTTGTTGCCGTAGTAGTCGCGATCATCAAGAAGCGTCGAGTCGCTGCGTGCATCCAAGGCCTGATGAGCGAGAAATCTTCGCTGTGCGCAAGGCCGGTAAAGATATCCTTAAACGCGCATCTCAGCAGACTTACTCGTCGCATCATGAGACACAGGAATCTGCACTTGCCACTGAAATCAAGAGGTTTGGTGGCACCTCCCTTATCCTGATCGAAGGCCGAGCTGAAGCTTCCATCGGCATACACTGAGATGTGCGAGAGGACTTGGCGGACCTACAACGGCAGTGTGGAAGCTAACGACCATACCGTAAATTCCCCAAGCTTCCCAGGAATCGTCCAATACTCCCTATAATCACATTACTATAGGTGTACATATTACTACTGATATGTATTCCGGTTTTTATTGAGTAAAAGTTTAGAATTTTACGAATTTTCATCGTGAAAATACGTAAAAAGTTGGCTATGACTCAAAATACCAGCAAGTGAATACAACAGTACTATCACTAAGCCTACCAAAACTTCTAGGGCCTCTCCCATTTTTCTCTCAGTCGCATCGGTGTTGCCAGGGCCAGTTCCAGCCGAGCCTAACGTTGTGGGATGAAATCGATCAACAAGGCGTCAGCAACAACTGACTTCTGATTTTCAGCTTATTTCCGAGATACTCAAGGGCTTGTTGTTGACTGAAGACCCCCGTAGCATGGGCGTCTTGCAGACTTAGAATCATACCATCGACATGACACTTCTCAGTGCCCACCATTTGAACCTACATAGAGGAACACATCTTCTCCCCAACCAGACGCGCAATCGTGGGCTTTTTCTCATACGCTCCTATCGAAGAGCCCAGGTTGCCTCTGCCACTTACTATCTCTTGATCAGACTCCATGCCCATTGCCCTAAGCATGATGACTGCCGGTATGAGCTCAGTGAAGGCCGAATGCTTCACGAACAGTCCGCTCAGCTCCGACTTGAAACACACAACCGTTCCTGCAATTTCGTGGCGCGCGACATATCTCAGGGCATCTTACGTGACTTGTTATCAGCTGTGGAGCTGGTGACCACAGCCTGGACCAATTTCTTCGGGTCCATCTCCACGATGATACGATTGTTGCTCAACTGCTCCTGCATCAGAAGCACCTTCTCCGTGCCCTTGATGATGAAATATCCACCAGGGTCGTGTCTAAGGCAGAGACCCCTGAGAGCTGACCGCCAGCCGCAGCTGCTTACGGGCATTCCTGCATCCTCTCCATCTGCTCTGTAGTGGCATCGTGAAGTCGGCACAGCTTCGAGCGGAGCATTATCGGCAGACGTCCCACACAAACGCCATTCTTCCGCACTACTTCACGCCCTCGAACGTATGAGATGTCCACCAGGATGTCACTCGCGTACTGAGGACAAGTTATAGTAACAAAGCTAAGATTGCTGTGGTATCAACCCTAAAGATGCCTAGAGAGGTCGGCGAGTCCAGGACACGGAAGATGCTGGTATAGATGATAACAACAAGAAGCGTTCACTACCGTCATATCCCTAATACGGCACATCATAGGAGTAGTTTGAACATGCTGCAGCACGCCACGGTAGCTAGGGGCTCCCACACGGACGTCGTGGTACTCTAAGAACCAGTTAGGGTCGACATCACTGGTGATACGCCTATTGGACTCAGCCAGGACCTGACACCAACACTTCCCCCATGCTCGATGATGCTGCTGTCGAACACATTCCTTTCCACATTAGGCTAAGCCGCTGAGATTTACAAAGTGATACCAACACTACTACACAATGCACGCATGCGTTCGACACGTCGACCTTACGATATCTTTAATCTCCGTCGTAACGAAGTAGTTGAAACTATCAATATGCTGCTTCACCAAGCCCCTAGCCTCCAAGAACGCTGGTAGTAGCTCCCACTTGTCGGCCCAAGTGGGTGGGGCCTCCTCACTGGAAGGGGGTGGGATGAACTGCTCTGCTGCGGAAGGCTTCTGTTTCGAGGCCGGCGGTGACATGGCGTATCACGATAGCAGTAGCAATCGAGGCGCAGAAGCGAGCAAGCAACAACTGACAACCCACGCAGGTTCGATCCCCGCATATTGCACTTCAACACAATAATACCAGATAAACACACCTGTAAGTACAACTGCGTCATCATGACTTTCACTGTGCTCACATAGAGCACCCAACTAAAGAAAGGTAAAAACACTTCGGGCCAAACTAAGTGTTGGCCTATGAACCTGTCAACGATGACAGCACAGTGCATATTCATTTCCATCAGCATACCTCTAACACCATCACTCGCCCCTGTAGTAGAGTCCGTTTCTGACGTGTCACCACGGCTAGTCTCAGCTTGGTCCCTATACCCTCGTAACCGTCGCCACAGAGAGCCTTCAACCTACCACAAGGCTTATAGCAAGCCCTAGTGCAATCGTCCTCACCACGCTGTCGTCAGTTGTAGCAGAAAGTTGGGATGTCTGTCGGGCGTTGGGTATACACCATGGAAGTAAGAACAGCGTGAATAACGGACAAGACGCTGATAGCACAGCCGCCTTCCACAGACTAGAGAAAGGCCATAAACAACTGAGGATGACCGATAAACCGCTCACTTGCTGAACTGATGCTCTTCGTTGACCGCTCCTACTGGGCGAACATTAAGCTCGTGCAAGACGAACGCCCCGATGTACTTAGCCTGATAAGCTCCACTGATACCATTCTACATGAGCCCGGACTATACCATAGTATGGCCAGCACTAGCACAGCCTGCTAAGAGGGCGAACATTGTAGACTCCATGCCTTGGGGGCAGAGTTTCGAAGTGAGGATGAGGGTAGGCATCCACATCCACTGTCGGGTGACCTAAGGGACCCCTATGGAAGAACAAGGGGAGACGAGGTACAGCCTACCTCAAGCATTGAGGTACCTCCCAGGACGAACACCTTGTCCGATATCCCTATGGCGAGGTTCCATCGAAGGAATACGAAAGTCTGTAGAACAAATGCAGATTAGTCAAATAATGGGAAAAATAGCGCGCGCCCAAAGGTGTTCACCTGCAACAAGGCCACAGTGACATGGAGGGCGTTGGCCAGAATGAGGAGGTTCCTGAAGGTCCATTCACGCATATACTGCCAGTAGATGAGGACACCGAAAATCGAGAAAGCATTCGAGACAACTCCAAGGACCTATCAAGGCCAGCGCTACAACAAGCCACAGCAGCTCTTACTACAGTAGTGTAGTAGATTGGGGTAAAGTTGGGACCGCCAGGGAACTGCTCGGGAGTATCGGTGAAGAAGTAGAATGCCCCACCTTCTATAGACACGGCCAACGAGGCCTGAAATCAACAACAGTCACGAGGCCAGCACGGTGTAGGCCCACTGACTTGAACTATAGAGAAGACCGTGAACTTGGCGATTACTGGTGTCAGAACTACCCCAAAAAGGACCACCAGTACCACCGTCAAGATGCACCCAGTGTAAGCAGCCGTCCGGACGTGGCCCCTGAGCCCAAGATGAGGTCCATGGACCCGACAGGATAACCACCTACTCCTGGAAGCCTATACCGTTGATAACAGTAGTGCAAGCCAGCATGATGCAGGCAAGCATGACTAACTCTGAGTAGCCCTGTCGCCTCAACGCAGCGTAGCTCTCCGAAACCTCCTCCCTCCCTATAGAAAGGCCTCCTCCACACGATAGAGGTAGTTTTACGGCTGCCTACCAACTTTTCGCTCGCCCAGAAAATTGAAAAAAACGAGTGGTATGAATAAAGCTGCAGGAAGCAGGCAGGGGAAGAAGGGTGCATGAGGACCATACCTACATCACCGTATGCTGTAGCCTGTTAGTCGAAGGGCTCACTTGGTGATGATGGTCCCGACAGTAGCAGCAGCAATGACTTCAAAGGTGTTTTTGCCGAGCAATACGAACGTTATCAGCCTGGGGGAGCTGCCACCATCAGATTGATTTCGCATTAGGTCCGAGTATCTGAGCATAGTAGTATCATAGGCCTCCCTGCATACCACACCAACCTCGCTTCTGTCAGTAGGTTCTGGACAGTGACAAAGACCGTACAAGTGAACATAGCAAACACGACCTACGAGGACCATCTCAGTAGTGCTCTTCATAGTGACCGTACCGATGATAGAGACAGCCTCCTTTCGAGTAGAGGAAGGTACTCCCCTTTCCCGTCGGTGACCGGGTTGGCACATAGGAGAAGGAAGGCCCCAATCCCCAGTACGGCCGATAGGAGGATATACGGCTGCTTATGGTAGCCGAGGACAGGACACATGTCCGAGAGGACACCGAAACTAAGGGGGAGATGATACCAAGGGCCAACGGACAGTTGCCGCCTCACACAGGCTTCATAACCCAAGGCATGAATACCACACCAGAGAGGATTTGCAGTTGTGGTCCGCTCACTCGATAGGACCTAAAGAGCAGTGACAGTAGTGGTAACAGCACACATGCAGTGAACCTACCGTAGGAGGTAGTCCATAGTACTGAGCATGTAGTAGAGGACCAAGCCTTTGGTAAGGTGTTGAGATACACATATCCACACTAGTATCTTATCCCTGAGGCCAACATATTATACAATTCACCCTCCTGACCTACCCAAAGTCAACACGAAGCTTTCCGAACCACTCCTTCACCGAATCACCGCCACCACCGACGCTACCACGAGGGATTTTCGAGCTGACCTCCTTCCTAGGCGATGCCTGCCGACTCCTATTTCGCGGCGACGGTCCACCCTAACATCAAGTACGCCAAACTTCTCCCAACACTTGCGGCTTTCCTCGGCAATGGTCACCTTCCCAGCCGTGGACCTCATCATAAGTCCTATCTCCTCATCAGCGAGAGCGGCGTCAGCTTCCTCACTATACATGGAAAGCGCTCTACAGTTGACCAACTTCGAGGGACATCAAGGAAATCAGGAAATCCCAACTGCTCGGGGCTTCCAGGCAAACATGAAAACTCAATGACCAGTCAGACCTGTAGAATGATGTGTTTCAACGGTATTAGTAGTATTAGCAGGATAAGGCAGTAAAAGGTGTCATAATGTTTCACTCGGAGGCATCCTCTACAGCAGTGAAGTACTGTTGGTAGATAGCAAAGATCAACACCAACAAAGCGATTATGTATTTGCCCCTCCTCGAGAACATGGCCGCAAAAAGGTTCTGGAAAGAAAAACATTCAGCACGCATGCACCACTTCAGAGACTCACTCGAATGAATATGACCAAACGCGCAAACTTCATGATAATCCTGAGGAAAAACTTTATGACTCGACCACTGAGCCATCTCGGTAGTGCCGCCTTGCCGTCCGGACCCGCAGCCTGGGAACCTGGAAAAAACGCCCTTCGTTACTTATGGGGATATGCTCAACGGCAGCGGAGCGAAGTTCCAACTATGTGATAAAACTACTCATACGGTGGACTCCTTCACCATACCCACAAGGAGTAACATAGGGTACTACCTGCAGCCTGTTGTGCTATGAGGTTCTCCAAAACATCATCAGGCATCGAGCTAATCATAGCTTCCATCGACTTCAACATCCGGGGGTCCTTAAAAATATCCCCAGGATGGTCCGGCATTTTAGGGACCTCCGCCGCCGTGCTGCCCTCACTCCCTGCAGCATTGCTCACTGGTGCTGTCGTTTGGGCAGAGGCCTGATGACCATCAGCCAACACTAGTAGACAACAAAGGGTGGTAGCAGATTACCTGGGACATGGCATTCATCTGCTCAGGTGACATATTCTTCATCATATCCCCCATGGCCTTCATCATATCCTTATTCCGCATCATGTCCCTCATGGCAGCAGCATCCTATCACCAACACCATGCAAGAGGCCGACCTCCTCGAGGGACCCCACCTGACTGCTAGCCCCCATCCCCGACATCTTCAGCATACTATCGAACTGCTCATCGGACATGCCAGCCATCATATCACTCATCTGAGTATGTAAGTGAGTAAGACGAGTACTTCAACAACATACTTGATTCATAACATCAGGATTCTCCTTCATCATTCGAGTGGCCTCGGCCAGTCCCGCCGACCCCGTAGGAGGCATTCGGGGAGCCGTAGAGCTGCTAGATGCTGCTGTGGTTGCAGGAGCAGTACCAGAGGCCGCGGTCTTCCTCAGCTGGTCGATCTGAAACCAGTGTGGGCAAATATACACATGGTCAACTACACGTGTCGGTGACTATGTAAAAATTTCAAGGAAATTCTGGGAAATTCTTGTTGGCTATCGAACACCTCCACCCGACTGCGCATATAAACTCCTATAATCAGCGTGGAAAATCCCGAGCTCAGCTGAGGAAAGCAAACATATATTCCAACACTGTCTGAGACAGATAAGGAGAAGACATACGCTGTAACATATCCTTTTCCTAGTAACAATATCCTTGGATTCCTCATGTTACGATCATCAGCCACCCCCCAGCCCAGACTTTCTACCTGCTCCTGCGGTAGGGACCCCACCACGTCCTTCATCCTTTCCACGAACTCAGGGTCTTCACTACGAAGCTTTTCCGCGAACTTACGGGCTGCCGCAGAATTGCCAGGGGCGCTTCCAGTCAGCTGCACGTTGCGCAACTCGTTCATCTAGAGATGAATAATAGGTTAGGAAGAGCCCCATAGGCCGATCGCGAGCATTGATGACCGTACTACTTCTTCAGGCGTCATGTCCTTCATCACTTTCTGCATCTTCATTACCATCTCTGGGTCCGAGGCAAGCTTAGCAGAGACCTCTCGCTGAAGATCAGCAGACGCATTAGAAGATGACGAAGGAGTGGTAGACGCCGATGCAGTGGTCGTCGATGTCGAGGAAGACTTTCCTGCTTCCTAAGGACAGCACCATCCGATACCGCAAGAGGTTCTAATTGATGTCAGTGATGTCCTCACATATACCTACTTCATTGACGACTGGCTCCTCCTCTGTTGGTACTACATAGTCGTCGGGGAGACTCTCCTTGAAGGCCTCGAAGTCGGAGACTAACACCTCGTCATTCGGTGACAACCGAGCCGCTATCGATAGGTCGAGATAAGCCTTATCGATCTCCTTCAGTTCTCGATAGGCCACCCCTAATAGGGATGTGAATTTCGTGGCGCAGTGACGCTGGATGCAGTACCTCGCCTGTATAGAGCCTTCACTGCCTTAGGGTCCTGCTGCAACACTTGGTCACAGTACTCGCGACACTCGTCGTACCTAAGCGCTCATTGCAAAAAAGGCTTGATAAGGCAGATGATACTTCTCCAGCTTGAGACAGCAAAGGGCAGCATTAGAGCAAAGGGCCTTCTGTAGGGCCAAGACGGTGGGAGTGCTGTATGATTTCACGTTATCCAGACCCCTAGT